TCATCTTTCAGAATATAAAATCCATAAACTTTTTCCCATATTTAAAAAAATAATGTTTATTGTTTAATTCCTAGAAATCTACAAAATTTTGCAAAAAGAGAAAAATTTATCATTCAAATTTTCAAAAGTGACATATCTTTATATTTATTAATAATTTTTTCATTCAGATCAACTGACAAAAGAGTAAATATACATGACAGATTCCAAACCTATCGATAATACTACATGTGTTCAGTGATCTAGCTCAGTATAAGAAGGGAATACGCTTGATTATACGTGTGGTGCAGAACGTACGCATAGTATTGAATTTACAAGTTTTTATTAGGAAGTGCAACAATTGTGATACTTTTCAAATTTTCAGTTTGTGCAGCATTTTTCATGTACCTAGTTGGAAAATAAGACTTACAAAAAAAATGTATTTGTTACCATAAGAAAGCAATGTGCTTCTTATACCCTGATCAGAGAGAACACTGTAGTTCACACTGCTGAGTGACCAGTTAGTTAGCATGATCACACTCTTAGACTTAAGACTGGAACTGTACAACACTAAGGAATACTTGTGGACTGAATCATGTCAGGATTCCAAAGTGTTTTGGAATTGTTCCATTCTTGATTTACCTTAGATTCAGCCAATGCTCTTCTCCTTGCTAACTTCTCATCTAGCAACATACGCTGTCTGGAAATTTCATCATCCATGAATTTCTCAAGCGTGTTCATGTTTTTCTTGTGCTGTTTCATCAACCAATCAGCTTGCTCTTCTGTAAGGTTGCCTTCAGTTTTGACATCATCCAGTAGTTGATGTTGGATCGCTTTCACTGCCATCCGTTTTCGAATTGCAAATTCCTAAAGATATTCACAAATATTACTGGATCATTGAGGCACATTGTAAAAGCACCAATTTGAACAGTGAGGTGTCTTGCAATGCATTATGGGATTTTTGGGAGATACCACTATACAGTGGGAATGTGGAGTTCATAGATTGACTATAAAGCACCTATTTGCATCTCCGTGATTAAATAATTGATATAATCAGTAAAGATAATGCAATAAATAACTCACAAGCCATGTCTCTTTTTTACAAAATAAATTGATCCAATATGACCCAGGTTACACTGTACCTTTCGAAGTTTTTCCTGTTCTTCATCCTGCTCCAGTTTAAGTAAATGAGTCAATTCGTTCTCCTCTGCTTGATGCTGTTTATCTATTAAATCCATTAAATCTTTGCGTTCCTGAAAAAAGAGAATTGAAAAACAGTTCAATAATCGACTGCTTGATATATATAAGTAGGGCGCCCTCACAGTTTCTTGTGTTTAATGATTGTCAAGTGAACACCAGAAAAAGACTTCTGGGCCGAGTATCGAGTATCTTCATTGTACACGTGTGACCAAGAAAGTGTCATATATAATAAAGATTCAACTCATATACAGCAAGATTGATTTAACTACTAAAACATGCTGAACTTACATCATCAGTCATTCCTTTAGTTTTATCTTTTGCTTCTTCTTTTTCCACTTCATGCTTTTTGTGTAATTGATAAAGTTTACCCTAAAATGTAAAAAAACAAAAAGTATTATGAAATGAAAGAACACATATCGGTTACATATCCAACCATTTAGTGTAATTGACTAGAGTAAAATGGCGAAAATATTGAAACTATGAACTTTGTTTACAATCTTAAAAATACCAGGTAATCACATCCATCTTTGGAATTCACACTTGCTAATATGCTTAGATGTAGACACTATATTAACTCAGGGTGATATGCTGACAGTTGTAAGATAATATCATTTAAATTTTACATAGAATATATCTATATATCTAATTTTTTCCTCTATATATTAAAAGTTTTGAAAAAACCTTTACTTTGTTCAGTGTTACTACTAGTATATATCACAAGACAAACACCTTGTGCAGGTTAAAAGGCGGTGGTCAACACACCATGCATGCACGACTCATATGAACAAAGATGACGTATTGATTGTTGTGCAGTCCAATGAGTACAAACTGAGATGTTACCAAGATTAAACTAGGTAATTTCTTTGGTGATTGTAGGGTATTCAATTATTAATTATTGAACGTTGCACCCAGATCATTAGAAGAGCGCATTGGATTGTGGGAAAATCAATGTTTCTCAACACAAATATTGCACATGTGCGCATGATGACCACTGCCCTTTAAGTAAATATAATGCTGACACCAAAATACAAAGGCATTTATTCTCTTTCTATGCCATTATTGCATCTATACAACTCTGATGAAGTCAAAATACAGTGCCCATTTCCATGAAAACAAGTCTCTTTCCATCATATACCAGTAGCCATTTTTAAAATTTTACACTTATATGGTGCATATAATAATTTCTGTATTTTGACTGAAGATATCTGAAATCTGACCTTATTCTGTGAACTCAATCGTTTGATCAGCGTAGCCGATTCCAATCGATATTCATCATTCAGCTTTTTATTCAAATCTTTGATGTTTCTTTGGAATTTACTGATGCATTTGTCTTCAACCTGTTTGGTGATGTCCTTGTTCATCCGTAAACTCTGCACTAGGTACAAGACTGATTCTATCATCATGTCAATTCTTTGGATTTCTAACTCTATGTCAACAGTAATGGTGGCTAGCACATCCAAACTACAAATAGAATGAATATTGTTATACAGAAGAAAACACTGAAATGAATGCCTGGTTGTCAAGCGGGACAACAGCTCTGAGAAACTGAATGTTAACACATAATCATTTAGTTGGATCAATATTCAACTGAACACTTATTTTAGATAAGAAGGATGGATGACTTACTTATCCAATTCTCTGTATATACTCAGTTTGTCTTTGAGAGTCAATATGTACACTATACTTTCATCTATAGCAATGATACTATTGGAGAAAAAAAAAATCAGCATCAAATACTTCTTATGGAATTACATGAAAAATAATTGTACATCTATAGCTATATACATGACTGATCGATAACAAATCCCATGTAATGAAACTTTCCATTGATAGCAGTTGTCAGTTTAGACTGAAACATTCAACTATAGACATGTATGCATTGTTCACATATACACTATTAAAGCTTTATGGCTGTGAACAAAGACAGTGTGAAAGTTTTTGCTTAATTTGTTATTGAATTATTTGTAAAGAGATGAATCTTCATGTTAATATAAATTTTCTTTTCTTCCTTATTTGGATGTCTAGAGTCATCTAAATATATATATCATAGGGATCTCGCCAGCCCAATGAGAGTGCCGGTCGGTCATGAAGATTAATGAGCTATATGAATATTAATTAGCAATGAATATTAATGAGTTCGGTAGCAGTGCAAATATTTTTGAAATTAAGACATTATGTTTCACAATTTAGAAGAGTTTGAATTTAAAAATGAAATATATTCGAAATGCGAATGCTGCAGACTAAAAAACAGAAACAAATAAATTATTGTTGCAATATTAATGTATATTGTAAATAAAACGCATTTGAAACATTTCAGCCAGGATATGTTTACGATCTCATTTACTCCAAAAACATTTTCCTTCAAAAAACATTATCCTTAAATGATAATCATTTAATTATTATAAAGTTATATTGACTCATAAGCCTACGATCACCGCCGTAATGTTCCTAACAACAAAAAATGAACATTAATTGCCAGTTAAAAGACTGAATGGTTTGCAATGCATGCCTGGATATCGTTACGTGATTGGAACAAGTTGGGTCATACCAATCGTAACAGAAGACGTCAAACAAATAGTGGGGGGGGGGGGGCTCGAAAACTTTGAATATATATGTAAAGATCACGATGGAATTACATTTCAATTTATTTATTTTATTCAATTAAATAAATTGCTATATAATAAATAGCAAAGTTATCCAAACAAAATGTATGTACACAGTTTTAAATCTCAGGCATATTACATGTATATAGCACTTGTAAATGCATGCATTTAGCCAAACGGCACATCCTCGTAAAAATGGTTTGAACTATCCAGTTCTAAGCATGTAATAATCCTGAGACGCGCATTGCAAACAAGTTTAACTGGCAATGATGCTGTTTTAGTGTTCAGAACAATAGGTCAGGGACAGTAATATTCACCTGGAACTATACATATATACTTTGATTTGTCTTGCTTTCATCTTTAATACATTGTATGTATAGTTGTGTCATTGAAATGAATATTCCCTACCATTATGTAAGCACAAATTATTCTAACAGGAAAATATACTGTAGCTTTCATTTACATCAGTTCACATCAAATCACTTCTTATTAAAATTAATCCAAACATCTAATCAAAATACCTTTCCACTTAAATGGATTGAAATAAAAGATATTACCTGTATTCTTTGATAGCATTGAAGCCGGTCTTCATGGCGTCTTTAGCATTCATGATCAACCCACGTCCCTGCCCATGTTTGCTTGCTTTCATGTCTGGTTCCACTACACTAAATGGAGGAGTCTTCTTCAACACTTTGATCCAGATTAAGAAAAACAGGGCCACTAGAACTAAAGCGATGATCAGACAAATAAAAAACGCCAACGCACCAGCCCCAGTGTTGTATAAATAACTAGTCTCCTGCTCTTCCACCTTGTTAACACATGCGGTGTCACTAACTGTGTACTGTCTACCAGGATTCTGTGAAAATAAATGGATGAATTTATACGGTCAATAATACATGTGAAGAACAATCCCAGCACTTAATTAATTAAAAAATAATAAAAAAAATAATATATATTAATTAACAAGCCATGTTCAAAATTCTGATTGGTTAATAGTTTCAGGTCAACTCACCCAAGAAAAAAACATGGCAGATAGTATTTTGCATCAAGTGTTTGTGTATGATTGAAAACATTCGCTCACGATGAAAATAAGTTGTACATTGTATATAACTTTTATTTTATAACAACCCAATGAATTGATTTTTTGTACATTATTTTGATACCGTAATGACAACAGAGTAATAAATCAATGTTTGTAAGAACTCAAAAACTAGTAAGTTATATGTGAAATGACATGTAACCATTTGCTATTAAAACGATGTGTTCCTGTTTGTTTATTTTTAAAACTTGTTCTACACTTGTTGTTACTAACAAAATTAGAACTAGTTGGTATAACATTAAAACCATTTTTTTTTCTCATGTAGAAATACCAATTCATTGTGTTTTTGTACAAATTTCAACTTGTTTGTGGCATGACGTATTTTAGAACCAATTGTAGGTAAGAGTGAAAAGTTAGAGTTAGAGTTAGATTGACGCCTAAATAAAAATACATAGCATACTGATAGTCATAAAACAAAATAATATACATTGTGTACTATAATGTACAAAATTAGTAGAAAAATCAATAGTAATAGACAGCCTGATGAACAGGTCAATTTCCATATCTTGTGAGTGCAAACAAAAAGAACCAATAAGAGCCTCAAGAACATATTACTGACCTCTAGTGTGACTAAATCAGCTGGTAAGGATTCTGATGTAACTGTGACAGTATAAACACTTGCTAATCCAGTATTTAACATCAAGGAATTTGAATCAAAAAAAGCTTTAAATGATAAGAACATGGTATCTCCAACTGAAAT